TTTGCCTTCAGTATCCCGACTCACGATTACCGGAGACGATCTTTGCAGTAATTACCCTGACCACTCGTCAAGGGTTATCATCAATAGACTGTTTGCATTTCGCGTTTTTTCATTGTTGCAAGATTGATTTGTTTTTGCATAATATCTATGTGTGCGTATCTGTGTGCGTGCGTGGACGGGCACATTACTAAGCCTGCCGTGTAGATATCGTGATTATTGATTCACATCGTAACTGCTAATTTATAAAACTGTATATTATATAAGTTGTCATGTCAGTATTAATGTGCATCCAAGTATATACAATGATGTGTTGATGAATTCTCTGCGCGTTTCTTTCCCTGAAATTTGACCAAACATCAGAATCTCTTTTAGAATCTCTTTTAGAATCTCTTTTACAGCGTCTGACTATTTTTTGCAACCCATCGTAATCTCTTCACTATTTATTACATATTATTATTACTACATAAAATGCTCACTTATACTTACCTATGTATACCAACTAAATGCAGGACGGTTTTAGTCGCTTTAGTTAAGTATCGTTATTTTTCTTATATTTATTGCTAATAGTTTTTACTCCTTATATCTATTGAGGAATTTTACTGATAAAATGCTGACATACGTTAAATTACATAATTTTATGTATATCAACAGCTATTATGATTATTCAGCTATTATGATTAGCTAGATAGACAGATAGATAGAAGAAAGAATTAGAAAAATAGATAGCTATTTATATATTAATCAAAATAACTTAAACATCCTTATCGAATATATATTATATCGACTATTTTTTTTCTCTTCATTCATATTATCATTACATATTGTATTACTGATATAGCATATTTGAAATTTTTACACACACACACACAGACACATACACAGACACACACACACACACACACACATATATATATATATATATGTGTGTGCGCGTGTGTATGAATATATATTGATACATACACACATATGTGTGAGTGTGCGTGTGTGTATGTGTATATATTGATATAAGAGGAAAGAACTGTTAGATTGATGATCCGAAGTTCTTTTGTATTTATGTTTATACTTTTAAAAAACAGTGCTCGATTCAGAAGTAGAGCCTAGATTATAATTACACAGACACAGAAAATTACTATGTTTCGAAACTGGTCAACAGTATTCAAGTTTAATTTAAATATTAAACCTTAATTATTGGCTGACAGTTTCATCATCAAGTGATATTTGGAATAACTAAGCAAGGGAACATAGATCAGAAGACTCCGCAGAATCTAATGGCCCCATTGTGACGTTAAAGTAGTTTTCAAAATTTTTAATCCATTGGCCCTCATTATGAATGAGGACAGATTTTTTTTTGCATTGAGAATTATGTTCTTTTCTTCTGTTAGGTCTGAATAAATAGTAACAAACTCTAGGGTAGTCGTGAATAGATATTCTTTTACTATCAATCAATATCAAGAGATGCAACCTTACAAGACTCAAAAAAAAAACCTTATCCAATCCAACCTTGCACGACTCCAAAACATGACATATAAGAAACATCCCCACTTCCATCAAAGCAGAGACTCCTTGATAATGAAAAACAGACCATAGATCACACCTCCATTTCAAAACTATAAATAAGTAAAACATACCGTTGCTTCCTTATTCCAAACATCGATTGAGGATGAAACTACCACCCAATTGTTAAGGTTTAATAATGAAATTACACTTGAATATTGCTGACATGTAATTTCTGTGTCACAAAAGAATCATATTTTTTTTTAAAATATCTTATTTGGATATGAGTGCGTCTGTGTATATTAAATTACAATATGCAAATGATCAGGATGAAGGCTATTATTATGTAAATTTTCTTTCTAATGTTAATATTCATTCTTCCCGGAACCGTATATGTTCCAAGATTATTTGGAAACGATAGAAAACGCTACTGGAAAAACTGCCAGCCTCATCAACGTTACAGAGAAAAAGATCTGTTCTCGTAAACGTAACAGCAAACGATATCAAAGAGAAGAATTGACAAAACATTCTTACACTTGCAAGTAGTTCATTTGATATATCGAACCAGATGTTATTTGTTATGATTACAATACGAAAAAGAATGAAATATCTATTAAATATTATAGTAATATTTTTAAGATATTTACAAGATCATTTGATAATATTCGTTAAAATATTCTGTTCACGTGAAAGTGTACATACTATTGGGGATGAAGCGTTTCTCGAGATAAAAAGTGGGAAAATAGAAATCAAGACTTTATCAGCTGTATATAGTTGAAGGCATGAGACGGACAAGCCACATAAAGAGGTGTTTCTTATTTCTAAACTGTTTATATATATCTATTCCATTAATAAAAAAATAAACTCTAAATTTAGCTACAAATTATTAATGATTAATTTATAAGAGATATGTATATTTTGTAGTCGAAGTTTATATATAGGAATCCTAATAAATACATTATGAAAGCATATAACAGTCTCTGATAAATATGAGAAAAGTAATCAG